TAACTTAAACATTCATAATTAAGAATTTTACCATGATTAAAATCACATTATTAAAAAATATATTAAAACTATTTAAAATGACTTTAAATTTAAGTGATATTTTGAAATTTTAATATAAAAAATCATAGCAAAATGTTGAAAAACCTATAATAACATTTTATGAAAAAATATTTAAGCTAATTTTATATGAATCTTTTTTTGTAAAAAAAAAAATATTTGCAAATTGTTTTAAACAAAAATATGTTAGTAGGATCGAAAGTGATATTTTTTGGAGATATTTGTTAATCTGAGAATTTTAATTTAGTACTTCTATGAGAATTGTTAAGTATAAAATAACCTATTTATGGTTTGAACATTTTGATAACTTTGACTGAAAGGGTGAGTTTGACTCGCTTATCAGATGTTTTGGGATTTAGTCTATTTTTGAGTTAAAGGTTTAGATAACCTAGACATCTGTCAAGTCTGGTTTTGAAGAATCTCATAAACAAATCCATAAGATTAGGATCACTCTTTATTCAAAATATGTTCAGAATCTCGAAAATGTTTATGGTGGTTTGACATATTTGATAGAAGTAGAAATGAGGTAAATTTACATGCTAGGTACACTTAGCTACGCATTTCGACGTCATGCTCTAAGGTTTGACAGAGGAACGTTCGACAAAAGCAGTTAGAGAGATGTAAAAGATGGTTTGAAACAATAAGAGTGGTTCAAATGTCAAAGATACATGGAAGCAAACTAGAAGGATGAAGTCCACGTGAGGGAGCACGTGTCCATTTCTGCGAAGATAACTGTATCGACGGTTAACATTGTAATAATGTATAAGACGAGTTCAGTCATGTAAACAAGGGGTCACAAAATTTATTAAGTATTCTCTATATAACTTAAGTATTAAAGTTACCGAGAGAAAAGAGATTGTGAGAAGATGTATGAATCCACATCTTTCCTCTTAATCTTTTAAATTCGAAGCATTTACTTGAATGATTTTATTATGTTTTTTGTTTGTTCTTTATTTTTAAAGCAATTATGCATTTGTTCCAGTTAAAGTTTATGTCATGATTTTTGACATTTAAACATCAATATTCAAAGCATAAGTATATTCTTCTCAAATCTTTTGCACAAATAAGTCCTGAGATTTTTTCAAATTTAATCTTGTAATTGAACAAAAATTTGTGATTTGATTTGCCAAAAACAACGCTAAACAAATTGGCACACCTAATGGGACCCTTTTTTATGCAAGAAATTCAATTTTTCAGAAACGTTTTGTGTATTTATTTTTAAGTTTGTTCTTCATACACGAAATTTTTAATGTCTGAGCGTTTATGTATTTGAGAAGTGGTAAAATTTTAGTTGAGATGGCACATCCAAAAAATATGTCCCTTCCTTAGAATAATGCTCAAGATAATGAAGAACATTCAACTGAATCGGTGGTCGGTGGTGTAAGTACTTCAGCAACTGTCTGAGTAATTTCTCTTTTTGTAAGTCAGATGTCGATTTCGACAACATTACCAAAAGTGGTGGTCCCACTACCACAAGCAATGAGTATTCTGACTACTCCCAGAGCCACACAAGCGATTATGGGAGACCCTAGGCCTTCCTTTATCCCAAGTTTCACACTACCCCCTGGTAGCATGGAATATCCATATGACATGCCAACTGCAATGATGGAAGACCTACAAACCAATGCATCTACATATATAGATAATGCAATGACTATTGCATCTCCTCTCAATCCATATTAGCGTCAGGGTCTGCTATAAGCAACCTAGTCAAATGTCACAACCACAAGGAGGGAACAAGTAATGTCATCCCTAACTACTAGTTCCCTCATATATGTGAGGAAACAAATGGATAAAAGCAACCATGAGATGGTGAACATGCTTACACAGCAAATTGATAATGTGTTTAGTCCTTTGATCCAAAACACAAATCATACTTACTAACAATTTGTGCATCAAATGGGTTGAATTGTTGATTTCTTTAGCGCTTCCCAAGCACCTATCCAGCAAATCCCTAGAGTCCAAGCAGGTGGGGAAACTCAAAACCTAAATCTCCCTAATAACCAAGGGAAACAACGGGTTGTGCCCCAGCAAGTCAAACAGCCTATACAAAGGGTAGTCGGAGCAGGCATGGGTCAAAATGGCCCATAGTTGGATGTGATATTTAATGAGCTTAATTTTCCTTATATCTCCATGTTTGACTCTTTTTCAACTCGAATTCCCCTGGCCAAGAACCAAGTTCATACCAGTATCTCTCTCATTTTCTTCCTCAAACACCACTCCTACTTCTTCATCTCACATAAATGAATTCTCTTCATCAACATCTTCTACGAGCCTACCTCAAACTCAAGCTTCTAACCCTAACCACAACCTCAACTTCCAACAACACCGACAACTCACCTACTCCCAATTCCAACCAATCCCTCAAACCTCATAACATGTCTTTAAATAGCACAACTAACTTACCTGATCTCAACCAATCTTCCATTTCTCATAACATAACCAGTCCTAATGTACCAAGCAACATTGTTTCCTTACCACAATTATCAAGTCATCACACTAATCATGTGGCATACCTGTCAAACACACCATCTTCCTCACATACATATATCCAAACATCACTCATTCTTTTACTTTCACCACCTAGAATTCATCTTCAAAACACCCATTCCATGACCACTATAGCCAAGGATGGAATTGTGCAACAAAGGCCCAGTCTCACACTTTTTATAACCGAACTAGAACCTACCTCCTACAAATAGCTCTCAAGGATCTTAAGTGGCTAGCTGCTATGAAGGTTGAACACACAACTTTGCTTAAAATACTTGGAGGCTTACATCTCTACCTCCAAATAGAAGTACAATAGGTTGCAAGTGGAAAGTCAAAATTAAGCAAAGTTCTGATGGTTTTGTTCAAAAGTACAAACTCAGACTTATGATTAAAGGTTACCATCAATTTCAAGGTTTTGACTTTCAAGAGACCTTTTCTCCAATAATGAAGCCCATTACTGTTAGAGTTATACTCACTTTGGCAATATCTAGACAGTGGCACACCTCTCAATTAAATGTGAATAATGCTTTTCTAAATGGTCTTTATGAAGACGCGATTTATATGCAACAACCTCCAAGGTTTGTTAACTACAACACATCTCTTGTTTGCAAGTTTAGCAATGTCATATATGGGCTCAAATAGGCACTTGTGGCTTGGGTTGATCAACTTACCACCACTCTTCACCACTTTGGTTTTAAAACCAATAAGTGTGACCCCCTCACTTTTTACACTCATTAAGCCTACCTACATCATTTTTATGCTATTCTATGTTGATGATATCTTAGTCACTGACAACTCTAAGAATCGTATTCATCATCTAGTTTCCAAACTTCATGATCAATTCTCTCTTAAACAGTTAGGCAATCTTGACTACTTTTTACGAAATGAAGTATCTCACTACTCTAATATGAGTCTCTTTCTCTCTCAAACCAAGTTTATTAGAGACCTTTTGTCCAAGACAAACATGAGTGAAGACAAGAGTCCCCTCACACTTATGGTATCAATTCTCAAGTTGACTAAAATGGGGTGGTATTATCTGCAAGATCATACATACTACAAGTTAGTTGTAGGAGCATTACAATATGCTACAATCACAATATCTGAAATCAGTTTTTCTGTCAACAAAGCATGTTATTTTATTCCTAACCTCTAGAAAGTCATTTGACTATAGTTAAAAGGATATTTAGATATCTCAAGGATACTCTCCATCATAGCTAACTTCTCACTCCGACAAATCCTTTCAAACAAATCTTTATTACTGCTTTCTCTTATGCAGATTGGGGTTCAGACCTTGATGATATGAAATCTACATCAAGCTCTTGTGTCTATCTAGGCCCAAATTTAGTGTCCTTGTGGTAAAAAAAAAAAAGACTTTAGTAGCTAGATCAAGCACTAAAGATGAGTATAGAAGCCTGGCTAATACAGCAATAGAAATACTTTGACTTCAATCCCTCCTTGTAGAACTCAAAGTGCTTACACTTACACATGTCTTATACTGTGACAATTAGAGCATTGTGGCTCTTGCACAATCCAATCCTACATACCCAAAACAAAGCATAGAGTTGAATATTTTTGTACTCATAAAGAAGGTCATCAATAAGACCTTCCTTGTCAAAACGAAGCCTTTGTCCTCCTTAAGGTTTCTTTCTCTAAGAGATCAACTCAAGGCTGCGGACAAATTGTGAAGGAAGCATCCACCATTTGAGGGAAAGATATTAGAGTATACTAGATGAACCTAAACTTTAGTATAAGCAACTCTCTTTTGTACAAATATACTAAGTTGCATTGGGAAAATGAACTAGTGAGATGGTTGTTAAGCCGACCCTGAGTTTGTTATACTCAGTGTACTCAACCACTCTATAAATAGGATTAGATACACAAATGCAACCTTCTTCAATTTACAATCAAAAACTATTTTCTCTCTCTCTCTCTTGTTCTCCAATGATGAACACTTGTTCATCCTCTCTACTTTTCTATCAATAACTTCCACTACTTTAAATTTAGCATAAATGATTTCAAAGCCACAAACAAACTAAGAATACAAGGCAGATTTGCATAACCACCTTTTCTATCCTGTGTGATGATTTCTCATTTTTCTCCAATCCAGGCCTTTTGGACTCTGTTTTCCTTGTGCTCTTGTTACAATTTTAAATTAGTCACTCATGAGCCGTGCAAGAAATTATGGAATTATAAAAGTTACAACATTGACACAGAACTTTATGAGCATAACTTGACCAAAATAAATTTAAGCATTAGTCACAATTTTCAAAATTCTGTCATTCAGAGATATCAATTATTATGTGAATCATATGTGGCTATGAACTCAATAAGTTAGTCCAAAAATACAGCAAGATGCACAGCAGAGGTGATCGGATGACGCAGTCTCGGAGCCAAAAAGAAACAGGACAAAACCCAGAACAATTCCCAGCAGTAAATACAATCAACAATTTTAGCTATTGCTTCTTCTCCTCTGCTTTCCTAGGCTGAAAAAAGGGACAAATATAACACATTAATTAAAACTGCTTAAATATAGGCCTTATTCACAAATCGAAAGCATGTCATTGAATACATTTAAAGAAGCCATACTTAACACGAAACCATATGCAACCAAATAACATTAGGAAAATTTCCATCAAACAACTACTACACTTTCAATGTAATTTCACTATTTATATCTGCAACCCAATTATCACATAGCATGTTAAGAAATTCAGTCTATTGTTTTTTTTAAAGGCAAATATAATATATAAAAAGTGGGAGCCAAACAAACAAGAGTTAGCTACAAAGCACAAGAAGTGCCTGATAAAAAGCAATAAAAAAACAACAAAAGGAAAAAACAGAAGCCAGCTAAAGAGAAAGTACTCCCGAAGCAACACCAACATTTCAGTCTATTGTATCCCACGAAAATATACTCCCAACATTTTGTTATAGTGGAAACTAGGAGATAATAAAGCATAGCTCCAGCTAAGATAATAGTTCTTTATAAATAATAATTATTTTATATCCTCTTCCAATTTTGTTGATTTATTTCTCTCATAATATTAATAAATAAAATTTTCATAAAATGATAATAACTCATAATTTCTCTTTCATATAAACTTAATTACATTTTAAAATTTATGTGACATTCTCAAAAATACATATAATTTTGAGTAACGTGAATGGATAGATTGAGTTGGAACAACACATGTAGTGATGATTTCTCAATAAAGAAGGCATAAAGAGAGTTAGTGAGGCGCTTTAGCAAAAACCTTTTGTGCAACCATGTGGAATACGCAGATTTTGTTGAAGGCCTTCTTGTTTGCTCAGTGGTTATTGAATAATTGTTAACCCAAAAGGGATGTTTTGCTTATTGACTCTTTTTTATGTGAGAGTGGTTATGCTGTGGAGAAACTATTTAACATCCATTTTCCGAATCCCCGTGCTTTAGGTCAAGTTGGTGAGGTTTGAATAGCTACTATGGGTCGGTTAGAATCAGTTGTGTTAGTTTCAAATAAGCTTGCATATGCCACACTTACTTTTCTGATCTTTGCTCAAGAGAAGCATTGGATCCGACATGTGCTTCTCCTCTCTTTACAATTCTCAGCAAAACCAAGCTGAAGAAATCATCTCTTTCTCCCCTCAATCTCTTCTAAAACTCTCTTTTACAAACCATTCCCTTAGAGGGAATCAAGGACCCCGGAATACGTATTGCATAAAAAAAATGGATCAACTGTAGTTTTATACTTTCGCCATCATCAAGAAAATATGAATACAATCAAGAAGTTTGCCATCATCAAGAAAATATGAATACAGTCAAGAAGTTTCATAGTGCTGGACTATTAGTTGCTTCTTAACAACCAGAAACAATTCTAACGCCAAATTCATTTTCAGGTACATTGAACCCTAAATCTTATACTCAGTTCTCTTAAACCATGCCAGAATCAAAACAAAACAAATTAATTGAATTTTAATTTTTTTTTAAAAAAACTAAAAAGCATATTAAAACAGAAGAAGAAAACTCACTTTTGTGCCAGGTGCGTGTTGAGAGAGTTCTTCATCGGGGATGATAACCGGCCATTGTTCCCCAGCTTCACGGAACATCTGTTCAGTCTCAAGGAACTGACCTTTTTCCAGAATCATCTTCGTTATATGGTGCGCCGGCGTCGACGTTGCATCGAAAGCTTCTTCCACGCCGTTAACGAACGTCACCGTGATCTGCGGCGGATGTGCCACGTTCTTACGCTTGACCTCGACTTCGCAAGCAGGGTTTGATTCTTTGGCCTTTCGTGAGTTGCATTGAGCGAGAAATTCCATACACGATGCGGTTCGTGGATCCAATGCGTTGAACTCGATTTTCACTCTTGAGAGGAATTTCAGCATCTTTTCGTTCTCTTTCGTTTTATGAACTGGACAAATTGAGGGTGATGATGAACAGAAATTGGGATTTAGGTATTTAGGGTTTAAGAATAAGTTTGATTTTGTTCAAAATAATTGATTTTCAAATAAAATGTTTAAAATTGTCAGAAATGATAAAGATATTTTGTTCTAACTTACCCTGCTGAATGGAAATAGGTTTAGTAAATTAATAAAAAATAAATAAATATATTTTTAGTCTTTATAAATATCTCACATTTTATTTTTAAACTTTTATATAAAAAGGAATATATTTTTGTTCTTATAAAAATTTATGCATGCACTTTTAATATCTGTTATTTTTTAAAATTTTAAAAATTATTTAGTTACACTTAAATTTTTAAATTTTTAAATTATTTTTTTCATACGTGATCAAATTACTATAAAATATTTCTTTATTAAATTATATTATTTTTTAAAATAAGAAGAATTAAATATAAATTTTTTAAATTTTAAAAAGATAAGGATAAAAATAATAAAAATTTTGACTTATAAATCAAATTTTAAGTTGTTTCTTTTTGAAAAACTTTTTATAACGTTTTAAATATATTTGCAAAATAATCATTTAAAAATACACATTAATTTAACAATAAAGACTAAAACTACGTGCATAATTATTTTGTAAAGAGCAAAATACACTATTTTTTTCTATAGGGACAAAAAATAAAATTCGATAATTTTATAAGGAGCAAAAATATATTCAACCCTAATAAATAATATAGTTTTTTTTCAAATAATATGAACAAGCGAATCTCGTAATTGAACGTGTTCTCTCCGCACAATAACAATTGAGCTGATTTAAAGGAAAATAATAGTTATTTTTAGACAATTTCTTTAACTTAAACAAAAAAAAAGTTTTTTATAAGTTGGTCTTTTATGTTAATTAACATGTCATTTTCACAAAATCCGTTCTAAAAAAATTCATGTCACATTAATAGTGATGATGTATTATTTAAGGAGATGATGAACATGTGAAGATATTATGTCTATATCTTAATGTTGTTAGTTTTGATTTTTGTTGTGTCCATGTGTATTTTGGTTCATAAGTACTAATCATTGTTGATTTTAATGTTAGTGTTGTAAGACATGATTTTTTTAGTACCTTCATGTAATATTTATCATAAGACATGACTTTTTGTACCTTCATGTAATACTTGTTGTAATTTTATACTAGTTTTGTTACAGTAAAATTTTAATTTGTACAATAAATAAAACTTAGAAGACTTGATTATTACAATTTAAAAATAAATGAGATTTGTTTGTAGCGAAAAAACATAAAAGATTATTTTATTATAATAAAATAATTTAAAAATGCAGGATATATAATTTTGTCTTATTTTTATATTTTATTTTATTCTCCTAATATATAATTAATAGTTATTTTTACAAATAATAATTATTTGATTTAATATTTTTTGTAATCCTTTTTGTTGGAGTTGGCAAATGCTCAACAAATTGTTTCTTAATTATGGAACATAAAACACCTTTGTGCCCAGATGCAGAACACCAGTAACCACTCACCATTATCTTTACATTTCCCTTTCTTCTTTACAGATATTTTTGAATTATTTTTAAATTTTACGGTAATTGTGTGAAGTTTTTATTTAGATACTAAACTTTTTTTTCTGTCTACAAACATATAAATTATTGGTGTTTGCGGTGCGGTTTAGACAGTTTTAATGTTAAAAATCATATGATTCGTAAAAGATAAAAAGTATGATTCGATTTAATTCAATTCACTTTTAAAAATAAAATTAAATCAAACCAAATCAATGTAGTTTAAATTTATTCGACATCTTATAATATTTTTATTGAGTCAATAGATCATATTGACATTCCACTAAATTAATATTTAGCACTAATACATTATATTTTGCATTTCACTAAAATGATATTTAATATCAGTACATCAGTAAGGGTATGTTTGGATTGATGAAGGAATGGGATACGATGGAATAGAATCGGATAAACTTAACTTCCATTGTTTGGATTGATTAAAAATGGATGGAATTGAGTAGAATCGGATGGAATGCATTTCATCTCATTTCATCACTTTCCATCATTATTTATACTCTCCGATTTGGGTGAAATGACAAAATCTTTATATTCCATCATAAAATACCCAAACAATGGAACAAAATATTTATTTCATTCTACTCCGCTTCATTTTGTTCCGCTCCATTCTACTTCGTTCATTTCATAATATCCAAACATAGCCTAACATTTCATATTTACAATCAATACATCAAAAGTATCCACAATTAATTTAGGAGATTTATTAATGTAGTCTATATATTACTAGTAGACCATGTGAAAATTCAAAAAATGCCCATAGATTTCGAAGATGTATCTTCGGACGCACCTATGCACACAAAACTCGATAGTTTTTTAGTCACATCCCAATTTTATAATAAAATTTATTCCGAAAATACATTTTTGGAACATTTAAAAACCAAAGTGGATAGTGTAGCCGAATCTGGCTTAATCTTCAGATGAAAGTTGGATCTCATGTCTATTATTTTTGTGTAGTTGAGTAGATCTTTATACCATGCACTTATGCCAATCCTTTTAAGGCAGATTCAACTAGTTTTAGGGAAGATTAATTAGCTTTGGGGGATTCAAGTAGTAGAGGATGGTTTTTTCAAACTCCATGGATGAAGGTTTAGGTAGTTTCAATGGAGGAGGAAAAGATTATTTCTCGAATGGCAGTTTTGGAGAAGATGAGGTTTCTCTCTCTTCATTTGGTGGGTCTCATTATTTGTCACATGGTGTGAGTTCTATCCACTTTAGTTTTTCAAATCTTGCATGTTCCAAAAATATATTTTCGGGGACATTCCGAAAATGCATTTTCGGAATAAATTTTATCATATAATTGGGTGTGACTAAAAAACTAACGAGTTTTATATGCATGAATGCATCCGGAGATGCATCTCCAGAATCTTCGGAGAATTTTTAGATTTGTACGTGGTATACTAGTAATATATAGGATGCGTTAAGAAACCCTCTTAAGTTAATAATATCCACGATTAATTGATATGCTAAATTTGCAATTAATACATCAACAAAACCCATATATTTGGTCGAACCCACAATTCATCAATAAAACTCATCATATTTAGATAATAATTCCCCATTTAAATCATATTAGACAAAAGTGAAATAAAAAAACATAAAGCAGTAAAATAAAACAATATCAAAAACATTAAAATGAAACATAAAAAACATAGGAGATGAGAGATTAGAGAAGATAAAAGAGAAAGAACATAAGAGATGAGATATAAGAGAAGAATAAACGCAATAAAAACAGAAATCCCTGGAGCTTGAACGTCATATTTCCTAAATTAGTCATCTCAAACTTATTCATCAGCACCTTTTTGAACTTAGCTATCTCATGTTCACAAATCCTTGTTAGCAATATGCCATCAACATACAGACACACCAGAATCATAATGCCTTCAGAAGTATGCTGAACATAAACGTCATACTCCATCGCACACTTTCTAAATCCTTGGAGCTTGAAAAATGAATCAATTTTTCAAATTCCAAACTCGAAGAGCTTGTTTCATTCCATACAACGCTTTATGTAACTTGTACACCATCCCTTTCTAATTATTTTTCATAAATCCAAGAGGTTGTGATAAATATACCTTTTCTTGCAATGGACCGTTCAGAAATACATATTTCACATTTAAATGCATCAGAAGCCAATTCCTATTAGCAGTTATCGCAATCAATAGTCTGATTGTCTCATGTCTCGCTACAGGTGCAAACACTTCAAAGTAATATAACCCAAGTTTCTGTAGAAATCCTCTTCCTACTAACTTTGCTTTGTGTTTTCCAGTTGATCCATTTGGCTTTAGTTTCACCTTGAAAACCCATCTGACACTGACGGATTTCTTGTCCTTTGGAAGCTCAGTCAACTCCCAAGTCTTGTTTCTTTTTATAGCCTCGAGTTTTTCTTTCATGGCCTTCAGCCACACTTTCTTCTTGAGCGTTTCTTCAACACTAACTGGTTTAGAGTCTACTAACATGGCACGCTGAATGACTTCCCCTTTAGAGTCTACTTCAATATCTTGCAGCATGTCAAACTCTGCAAATCTTCTTGGAATGTTTCTGATTCTTTGAGGCCTCTGAACTTGTTCAGAATCGTTTTCAAGTTCTGGAACAGTCTCAGATGCTGGAACCCCAGAAGCACCACCTTTAGAGTATGGAATATTCCCAAAGTCTAGATCTCCACCCGAATCTTAATCACCATTAAAATCTGGATCTGAATCATAATCACCTTCAGAGTTAGACTCACCTTCAAAGTCTCCTTCAGCTTCAGAGTCATCTTCAGAGGTTGAGTCTCCTACAAATTTAGAAATACATTCAGAAGTTAAATATGCACTAGAGTTGGATTCTGACTTACTCCAATCCCACCCTTCTGATTCTTTCATAATGACATCTCTTTTGAATTCAATCTTGTTAATGATAGAACAGTAGAGCTTATAGGCACTTTTATTGTGGTACCCTACAAGCAACATTGTTAGACGATGACAATGATCTAGAAAGGGGTTTAAATAGATCACTAATTTTTAATAATTAGCGCTTTAAAAAATTATTCTAAAATATGCGAAAGTGGCCTCGGATCAAAACTCGTCTAAGTGAACCTTTATTGGAAAGATTGGATATGCGAAATCGAATGAAATGATTTTGATGAGATAGTAAAATCAATAAGTTTCCCAATCAACAATTCAAATAAAATTCATTTAAGGTGAACCAATTTCCAATGCTTAATTGAGGATAAAATTTGAATTGACAATATATCAAACTGTTTATGTGTTGTCGATATATTAAACACTTGGCGTGTGAAATACCCCAAGTCAAATTTCCTTTGATTTTGTAGTGCAAAATTTTTTCACACTTGCAATCAAAGTGACTGTAATGGTTTTTCACAACAGTTTTAAAACACTACAAATCAATTGAAA